AAAAGAACTGCTCCAATGCTAAAACATTCAGAAAAGAAAACTGCCAGCAGTGGCTTCATAAGAACTGGCCTCAAAACTAACCACGCCACCAAAACCTTTCATTTGCCTCTTGGCAAGGTCATGCTCAGGATGACTAGCCAAGCCTGGATAATAGACACGCCTAATCTGCAAGTCATGGTTGTCAAGGTCATTCATTAAGGCACACATAATAAGTATCAGAAAAGCCAAATAGTTTAAAGGATATAATTTTACAAACTAGCCAAATGAACCACAAATGAATTGGGGACCAAGTCTAAAACTTTTAACTTGTTGTACAAACACATACTGATGATATTGGTTAACCAATCCACAAGATTGAATTGGTATCTACCCAACGTTTAATGGGTTTAACAAAATGGATATACAAGTCGCTACTGCCATATTAGTTCTTAAACTCTTACGACAATCTCTAACCTCACGAGATGGGCATATCATGAACAGTGTCACAGTATAAAATAGTTGTGAAAAAATATAAGCTATTCAGCTAGAATTTATTCACTTTATCCTCACAGACAGGAATATGAGTGCACAGAGTTCTACTGAAGTTTGTTAACGTAAACCTTTTTCACGCTATTTAGTACCTTGGGATGTGGCTCTAACATTTCCGCCATCCTTTGTGCTGTTGAGTTTTGTTGCCGTATTCGAAGGTGCAGCGTCTTCATGCCTCGTATGATCAGGTATGCAGCATTCTAATAAACATATTAGATTAAGCAGTGCATGCAAATGTCACAAATTCTCTATGGCACTTCACAAGGCAATAACATGCTAAGTCCTCGAGCCCAATTGATTCAGCAAGCTGTTAAACATAGCCTACACATTTGCTATGTTAAAATCGTTACTAAAACAAGACAAGCCATGCGATAATAACTCACAGGATTTAGAGCACCGCCAAGAATATGATGGAAGTTACGAACAACAGAAATCAATTTCTCAGGGCCACTGATAGATCCTGCAAGAACCTTGACAGATAATACTGTTTGTCATCTAAAAGGTACATAACAGATAATGTAAAGATTTATTGGTACAACAGCTATATAGTAACTATATACCAAATGCAACATACATCATTGTGGCCACCAATGTATTTTGTTGCAGAGTGTAGAATGATATCAGCACCAAGTGAGAGGAGTTTCTGGTTAAGAGGAGTTCCAAAGGTCCCATCAATGCAAACTAGAGCTCCCTTTTCATGGCAAATCTTTGACACCAGCTCAATGTCAACACATCTCAGGAATGGATTTGTAGGGGACTCTGTAAAGAAAACTGCCACCTACTCGAATGTTGTATATTTTTCATAATCCCTGTAACTAATAAAGCACTAGGCATTGTTTAGTCAATAATTTCCTTATTTTTCTCCAAAGCAGACTCAAGGCCTCCAATATCTGCAGGATCAATAACAGTGGCCTGCATTTTGTAACGTCGTTATCTATTAACAAAAGGGCCTCTCCAATACTCTTTTATTTCTATATTTTTTTTCCTTTTGACTAGTGAGATAATCGTGCTTCTGGCAAGGCACTGGCGATAAAAATATGAATACACAAATATTAATCAAGTGCTTGGGTCAGAAAACTCATACAGTGATCCCCATTCTGGGAAGAACAGTCTCGATGAATATCTGAGTCTTCCTATAGCAGTCGGTGGTAGTGATTAAATGTCCCCCAGCTGGGATGAGTGCCATCAACATGACAGTGCTAACACACATTCCAGATGCCATTAATATTGTAGATTCAGCCCCTTCCAGTGCACTGTGGAAATTCAAATACGTGTTTCTCTTACTATACTCATCCAATCTACCCAAATATTTGGGATAAAAAAAGGAAAAGGAGAATAAAGTTACCTTATCTTCTCCTCTGCAACAATAGTAGTGTAATTCCCATAGCGTCCATATTCAAAACTTGCAAGTCTTTTCTCCTGCAAACATAACAAGGAATCCCAGGCACATCACATCCATATCCTCAATCATGATAAGTGAGGTACGCACAAGTTTGTACATCCTAGAGTTAAGTACACTGGCAAAACCATGCTACTAAATTTTCATAGTTAATTTACAGCTGAACAAACTCCAATCTGGATTCTCAAATAGCATTCAAGTTTGGCTTAAGCAATATGGTTGCATATGAGCTTCCTTCATCTAAAAACAGATAGTCTCTAGTTCGGTATTTCACTTCTCTAGTTTGGCAATTCACTCAGATCCTTGCTATGCCAGCATGAATACATACACACAAACACATTGATTTTCTCGTCAGCTGGGGTTAATGATCTAAAAAAGAATCTCGTCACCCCAATCTCGAATCGTCCGAGCTTTTTCTAAAATGAACAAATTCCCAATCAAATGTAGCAAAATTGAATAAACCCAGTTGACAAGGTGTAAGAAGTATAACAAAACCTATTCTGGCACAGTCAATGTTTCCCTAGTGATAAGACTATCTCAATCTACAGGACTTTATTAAGGATTAGAAGCATGCCCATTCTCCAGATACAGTAATTACCGTGCAAGCACCACCAAGTTGTTAGAGTAGGGTACCCGGCGTTCCAATCTAATTGGACGTATTCTACTTGTAAATACAATCTATTGGAATTATATTATTAATAAGGCATTTCTTTATCTTAAGAGAAAACATTTATCTTATAATTGCACTTAAGATAAAATCCCTAGATCACTTATGGTTATAAGGTATGGTTACGCATAGAGATGGTGATCATGGAACATACCTTGAAAGCCGTGATCTTAAATACAGTTCCAAGTCGATGGATGTTTCGAGATGGGATATCGAATAATCCATAAAAGACTTGCATATAGTTTGTATGCTTGTTGGACAAGAATGTTGCATTCCATCAACATTAGCGTAAGACGTAAGTACATTTATGTGGGTGCTTGTTAGAGAACAAGTTCACTGAACATGACCGTATGAAAATTCTTAATGAAGAATTTATTCAGTCGAATAAGAATTTTCATGTTACAATAGTACATGACTAATCCTAAGACTTGAGGCACAATGGTAACTTTGTGCATATTACATTCTACTTTGATTTATCCTTTTGGTAGCTAGCACTATCGTTTAAAGGGATAAGTTGGGTATTATGTTAATATGTATGGAAGTTTGTTAGTGGCCAATAAAGGATTCGACACTTATGAAGATAAGTGAATTTCCTATGTGTTTCATAGTTATTAATCCAAAGTCCTTGGCCAAGGCAGAGATGAATAGTGATTCATAACCGGGTTAATAAACATGAAATAGAATCATAGTTATTAAGTCAATTTGGGTTTCGACAAAATCATACCCAAGACTTAATCGGGAAATTAGATGTCGAAAGGATTTTACATGTATGGAGTTGTAATCGGAATAGGTTTACTCGCTATTCACTTAATACTAGATTCATGCTACTTGCTAGGTGTTACCATGATATGTGGGTTCATAAATTAAAGGGTTAATTCATGAATAAGAGTTAATAAGATTTAACTCAAATTACAAAGTGTTGTAAACCCACTACTAGTATTAAGGTGAACCTAAAAGGTCACACTAATTATGAACAAAGGTAAAGATTGTATTTCTAATGGTTAGAATTAATTGATAAATATCTAATTTGATTAGATATCAATTAAAGGAATATATTAATCAATAAGATTGATTAATTACATTTTGGATATTACTTTAGTAATTAAGGTAATTACTAAATTAATAAAGTTGAATTTTAAAATAGGATTTTAAATTTCAAAAATCCAAAATAATAATAATATGATTATTATAATATTGGGAAAATGATATAATAATAAAGTCTTGAGAAAGATTCTCAAGATTTATTATCCAATTATTATTTATATCTTTAAATATGATTTAAGGATTAAAATAATAAATATGATTATAATAAAATGGTTGTTGATGGTTGTTTGAACTACTTAACATATCTTATTATTTTCAAAGTCAAAAGTTAGTAAATACTATTTAAATAAAATTTGATTTTATTTAATATTACTAAATGTTGATTATTTTATGCTAAAATGTTTAGTATAAATATATGCAAAATGGTTTTGCATTTAAGTGAAGTTTTTGATCCTAAATTTCTAAGTGTTAGAAAGAGAAGAAAGTGTTCTTCATAAAACTTCAAGAAAGAGTTCTTAAAATTCCCAAATAAAATTCATAAATATTCCTATACAAGAAAACCGAGTCTTTTCTACTAGCGAAGGAAAGTCGTCGGAACCGGGCTTCATAGGGTGGATACGTTTAGAGGGAAGACACTTGGATTCCTCTAGCGAGTAACCTCAAGTCGTTGAAGTTACAACCGGGAACCGATTCCCTCATCCATCATCAATAGTGAAGGAGTTCAAGACATTCGGTAAATATTTTTACTAGTATTTACTTTATAGTAACAAATCAAAATTTGTATATGATGCATGTTTTAAAGATGACGATCAGTTAATTCGCAATTAGTATGTACGGGTGTTGTATTTATACGATAAATACTTACTTTAAAAATTTTAAATTCCGCTGCATACAGCCCGTACGGTACTATCGAACCCAACAGTGGTATCAGAGCCACGATTATCGTCTTTAAAACAGATTTTGATTTGTTAAGACTTATGAGATAAGCAATATAATTAATTTTTTATATGATAAAAATATTAATTATAAAATTAAAAATCGTTTTTAAGCCACACGAGTCGTGTGACCTAGTCACACGAGTCGTGTGACCTAGTCACACGAGTCGTGTGGCATGAAGAAAAATTTTGATTTTAGCTTCGTGATTTTCACACGAGTCGTGTGAGCTCACACGAGTCGTGTGACGAGCCACACGAGTCGTGTGAGTCTGGGAAAAATTTTGATTTTTAATTCGTATTTTTTACACGAGTCGTGTGACCCTCACACGAGTTGTGTGACTCATAAATTGATATTTTATGTTCATTTCATTAGATGAATATTTTAGGGATGATCATGAGCCTCATATTCATTATGTTTGAATGGATGTTTTCATTTTCAATATGATTGAATGAATGAATGGATGTTTAATTATGTTTTCAATATGATTGAAGAAATGTAATTTATCGAGACCTGCGAGTCTCTTGAGATGAAATTTGTAAAATTTTATATTTTGTATCGTTAGAGATTAGATCAAGGTGGAGACCGTTCGATGACAAAGGCCCACGCATGTGTGGGTAATTTTACAAGTTGTAATCTCGAAGGCCTGTGCTTGTACGGGTAGATAGAATAAATGTAATAGAAGTAGTTCTACTATTTGTTTTATCACGTACATATGCATAGATCCATTTTGGCTCGAATGGATCGAATAGGAAAGGACATGATCATCCCACCATGCATTAGATGTATGTTAGGTTTATTTACGCTTTCGTTTCATTAGATGACTGAAACTGGTAAATAAACGTAAAGATGGTAATCGATGAGATCAAGGAACCCAAACGGATTAATTTGATTAATTCCATATCAAATCAATAATGGATAAAAATAAGTTGGAACTTATTAATCCAGGCCTTCCATCAAAAATAGATGACATGAGATGGTACGATGTTTTATCATTGGCCACGAGTCGTGGGATGATTCTATGTCGAAAGCTGTGAACTCTATTAAATATATTGATATTTGTGAGACGGATTCCTCTTTGTGTCGGCCATGAGTCGTGGGACACTCTGGTGGGCCGTTATCATGAAAGTTTTGATGGGTTTGATTTGACACCGAGTAATATATATGGAGTCATAAAATTGAGGTATATAAGGAAAGGTGAGGCAAAACATCTTGAAGGTTGTATAGAGATACAATTGTCAAAAAGTTGACTACCGATAAAATTGTTTCATGGTGGCATCATAAAATTGGGACATGAAATATTTTTATTGGACTTCAAGCCCACTATGAAAATAATGATTTTCATAATTATAATGAGGTTCTAATTAAATTAGTGGGAGACATTTAATGTTAAAGACCTAATATTAAATGAATATAAATTCCATAGTCTAATTATTTTCTGCTTCGTTTGTTATTTTTGTAGATCAAACTACTAAAATGGCTAAGAATCCAATCGCGAGTATCCTTGATCATAATAAATTAACTGGTCCCAACTTCAATGATTGGTTGAGGAACCTAAAGATTGTTCTTCAGTCTGAGAAGCGAGAGTATGTTTTGGAAACAGCTCCTCCTCCTCCACCGGAGGATCAGACTGCTGAAGAGTATGGAGCCTACTTGCGTCATGTTGATGACAATCTCCAAGCTCGGTGCTACATGCTAGCATCAATGTCTAATGAGCTACAGAGACAGAACGAATTACTGAATAATGCTTCTGAAATCCTAACTCACCTGCAAGAGTTGTATGGTGATCGGACGCGACAAATTAGATATCAGATATCTAAAGAGCTTTTCAGGTGTCGTATGACCGAGGGCTCTTCAGTTCATGATCATGGACTGAAGATGATAGCTCTTGTGGAAAGACTCGAATCACTTGGAGTCATTATGGATAATGAACTCTATGTGGATTTATTGTTGCAATCTCTGCCAGCGTCATTCGATAACTTTGTCGTTAACTACAACATGCATAATATGGAAACTGATCTTCCAGGATTATTAAACATGTTGAAGACGGCTGAGTCCACCATTAAAAAGGACAAGCCGGTACTTCTTGTTGGATCCACTTCCGGATCAAAGGCTACTAAGTCTAAGAAAAGGAAGAGGAAGGGAAAGGTTCCCAATAAGCCCAACAAGAAGGCATATAATGATAAAGGGAAGAACAAACAGAAGGTTAATTCTCAGGCCGATCATGAATGTTTTCATTGTGGCAAAACTGGGCACTGGAAGAGGAACTGCAAGGAGTATCTTGCTAGTCTGAAAAGTTCAGGTATTTATTTTGTTGAAGTTAACTTGTCTGTTAACGATTCTTCTTGGGTATTGGATACCGGCTGTGGCTCACATATTTGCAATGATTTGCAGATGATGGCAAGAAGTAATATGCTAGATGGTGAAGAAACAATCCTAAGGATGGGCAATGGGGCAAGAGTTGCTGCTAAAGCTATTGGGACTGTTTATCTAGCATTGAATAATGATGTAAAGATTTGTCTATCAAACTGTTTGTATGTTCCGGATTTAATAAAAAACATTATTTCTATTCCAATATTGGATAAGGAAGGTTTTAAGTTTGTCATTGAAAATGGAAAATGTTCTATTTTCAAAGACACAACTTTTATTTATTCTGGAAATTTGACAAATGGGTTGTATACCATTACACCACAAAG